TCTGCTTGGCTTGGTCTCCCAGACCACTGGCTATTCAGGCTCTCGCAGCCTAGGTGACAGCTCCTTGCTGTTCAGGCCCCTCATGGCCTCTTGACAGTTTTCCCTGTACCTCAGCTTGCTTCCTCCAGAGACTCACGGATTCCCTCCAGCCCCTTGGACTCACTGGCCCCCCCAGCTTCCTCAGCCTCCCAGACCCTCTCTTGGTCTCCCAGACTCTCATAGCTGGTCAGACATCCCCAGTCCTTGGGCCCAGAATCCCCCTCACCAAGGTTGTAGTCTCCACCAGGAGCTTCCAGCTCTCCTGACAGGGCTCTGTCTTCAGGCTTGTAGCAATAAAAACTGCTATTCCACCTCCACCACCTTTGAGCTATGCTCAGATGTCAGGGATTGCAGGGATCGCCATGGCACAGATTGCCTAGGTGCACCAATGTGCAGGCACTTTGGACCTGGGCGTCCACGGCGGCAATTGCGCGGCCGAGCGCATGCATGCGCAATCACGCATGCGAGCGCGCGCCTGGCACCAATGACGGTGCAGGGCGCGCAATTTAAACTAGACCAGGTGGTGATCAGATTGTCGCAAGGTCTAGTTCCTGTGCATCCATTTCTGAAGTGAAGTTCCTAGTTGCCAACCCTGCCTGTCCTGATTCCTGCTGACCATCTCCTGCTCTGATCCCTGGCTCGTCCCTGACTACTCCTCTGCCTACCCTTATGTTGTTGGATCTCCTGTTGCTGAACCCTGGCTCATGACCCGTTTACCCTTCGCCTACTGCTCTGTACCGATCTGCCTCCACCGTTACCGACCCGGCTTGTCTGACCACGCATACCCCTGATTGTCAACCATGCATCCCGTACGGGTCCAGGACCTGCCAGCCTCTTCAGGTCAGGCTCACTCCTGGCACATACCCTCAGCGGGACCCCTCTACCACAGTTGGGTGCACTCAGGGACCGCGACCTGGTCTCAGTCTTGCGCCAAGTCCATCCCCACCATCAGGGGCTCTGGTGAAAAGGCAGACTGGGGCTTAGATTCCGCGTCCTCGGGAATCCTGTTCTGTGGGTCGTTAAAGATCTCGCCGGGTGGTGCATGACATCAGATCTGCCTCATAACGAGTGTGTGCACCTGGACACACACACACACCCTGCAGAACCTCTGAAAAACCTGGACACAAGACTGAAGACTCCATCCCATCCAATACTCTTTGGAGCCTTCAAGCTTACAGCCTCAATCCAGACTTACCAAATCCAGGGAAAGCTTAAAACATAGTTTGCTCGCAAAACATTTGCTGGAGCCCCTCAAACTGACTGTTTGAGATTACTATGTCTTTCTCAAACCCATTTCCACAGTGACTGAGCCTCGCACTGTCACAATATTTAGACTATCAAGGTATACCTGTAGACCATAGACTTTAAGAGGTTCTGCACCCTGTCAGAAAAAATTAGAACAAAAATTGTGGCTGTTGACTTTTAACAAAAAGACACCTGTCCAGGGATCCAGCGTTGTCTTCACAAGTCTTCAGGTCCCCATTGCTGGCATGTTTACTATGGGAAGCCAGCTGTGATTCCTTGTAGCTTCAAAGCCAGCTTCCCACTGTGCATGCGAGAGCCACACTGTGCTTTGTGAATAGTCCCACAGCATTCTGCGATCCATGACGAGTACCAGAACGTTGTCGGCGGGGGGGAGAACTTTCAATGGAATCACCTAGGCGATCTAACCAGAAGTGGGAGCGGGTACCTGTCACAGTCAGGTACCTACTCCCCACCCCCAAAAAAAAACAGTACCCAGTGTGAAGGGGTTAATATTGATTAAGGGAGTTTAGTTCCACTTTGAAGAATTGATGTTGATGTAGATGATCTGGTTCCTGGGCAGACAGCTTCTACACTACAGAGAATCTCCATGGTCTCCTTGGCTTTTACTGTAATGTAACAAAAATGTAAATTAAAGTGCCACACCACTGCTATAAGACCAGACACATCATTATTTCCAATAAAGGTCAGGATGACAATCCAAAAAATATTCAATATATCTGCAGGAAGCATCTTTGGACCCCCAAAAAGCATTGAAACTGTTTGGATTATCCTCCTACTTTTGGAATAAGGTTTTATCTGGACCTCTTAGCAGAGGAACAATGTTCCTTCGCAGACGTTGTGGATGTCTCAAGGGAAGCAGCTGACTGATTGGATGCTGCTACTCCTGAGACCTTTGGAGGCCATTTTTAGTGAAGGCAGTGCTAATAATTAGCAGTGCTTTTCTGGGTTTGGTGTGCATTTGTGAGTGAACAGTGTAGGGAAAGTTTCCACGCTTGTCAGGGAAAGAAAGATAGTCAGTGGGAAGGGTCCCTGTGTGAGAAATGAGATATGGATAGGCTGGAATTATCTAACTAGAGCTAAACAAAGGCTGGCCATACATTATGCAATTTTCTTTCAGTCAACCACACATTGAAGGAAGGAAAGTTTCTTGATTCCTCCATCAACACAGCCAGTGTTGATGGGGAAATTCCTCCTGCAGTGCTATTGAGTTCTGCAAGTGGGGAGCGCAGGGAGCCTTCCCCACCAGCAGAAAACAATGATTGCTGCTGGAGGCTATACCACGGGAAGGCCTTACAAACTCCAGTGATATATTTTCAAGTAAAACCTGTATTTATACTGGTACAATAAAATCTAAGGTCTGCTCAAATTGTCCAGGTCCCCTGTCCTTTTACAAATTAAAAGCTACCTATGTACCTAGGTCAGAAAGAATCCAGGAGCTTGCTATAGTCCTGAAAAGATAGGAGCACCAAATCAAGTTGTATAGTACTTTAAATGTTTTTTTTATTTTGCAACAGTCAACATGTTTTTCCGGCTCAGCACTCCCTCTTCATCAGGACTAAAAATCCAAGTAATGTAGAAGTCTGGATTGGAAAATCCAGGTGCCTGAATTATCTGTTTTTTTACCCTAATTAAGGGGGAGTGCTGAGCCCCCAAAATGTGTTGGCTGTTGCAAAATACAAATCTTTTAACCACTGTCCCGCCGCCCTATAGTAGAAGTACTGCTACAGGGTGGCAGGGCTGCGCAAAATCACGTATAAATATGTGATTTTCATTTCTGGGTAGGAGGTGCACGCCGCCCTACCCGCCACGCTATTTTGGCTAGGGATCTCAATTACCGGTCCCAGCCAGCGATTCACGGCCAGCACTCGCTGATCGTTGGGTAAAGCTAACAGGGGAGAGACCTGTGTGGAAACAACACAGGTCTCTCTCCTGTGAGCATGGACATGCTGTTTTGTATCTCACTGCACAGCACAGATATACAAAGCAGCATGTCTCCAAGGTAAAGGAAAAAAAAGTCTACAGTATAAACAACCCCCAAAGTGATGAATAAATGCTTCTTCTTTGTTCGATTGTTTCTGTGCGTGATAATTAATCCTTTCTCCTCTTGTTACCCTCAAAAAAAAGAAGATAAAATGCACATGGTGTATTATCCTCAATATACGAAAAATTATAACTTCGAATCACACATTTTACACAAACATTTGTGTAAAATGTGCTCCAAACTCCACCAAGTGTCTATGTCTAAATATCTGTTATCCTTACCCTTACCCTCTAATTACTTGAATATTGCCTCATAATACATTCCACCAATAAGATTCTCCCACAAAATAAACTTTTTCCGTCCTTCTTCTCCAAAGTAATGGACCCACCGAAAGGATCAAAATATAGTATGATATCTTGACTTCTCAATATGGTGCTCTCTTGTGCTCCCTTTACTCATCAATATTACCACCAGTGAAAAGTGACTCCACACTCCACCACCTCACAGACCATGCGCCTTACCGGACCAGACTTGGTCATCAGCATGGAATACTACCGGCTCCTCCTGGCCACTATTGCTCCAAATGCCACATAGCAATCAGGCTACACCACTACACCAATGCTGAATAACGACGATTTAGCCAGTAATACTTACAAACCCAGATGTCAATATATAATGGATCAAAACAAAAAGGCCTCCATAGTTCCATAAAAAAGCGCTTACACACAAACACGTCAGACGTAGACTGGAAGTTGCAGAGCAGCCATCTTGGAAGAGGTCTATAGTGAGCAAAAGCTGATTTTAAAGGAGAAAATGCTATTAAATTATGTTTGTGTGTAAGCACTTTTTTATGGAATAGATAGCATATTAATTGAAACCCAAAAACAAAACTGAACTATTTAAACCAGGACCAGTTATGTGGTTGATGTGACCATTTTCCATTTCAGAATTTATCTCCTTGTACAAGATGTGACCACTCACAAATAGGTCACGGTTACTACTCTTTATAAGTATAGCTATATGCATAATATCAAGAATTTGTCAAAAAAATATTTACTGTCATCACCTTCTGCAGTAACTGCTGTATGCAGCTCTACGAGCAAAGCAGGAAAGCTTGCCAAAAAATTTCAGCATATGGCTCCAAAATTGGATTTTGAAGGTTTTCAAATGTACAAAAAAAGAATTCTCTTTGTCTCTGAAAGAAAATAAATCTCTGATTGCTTCAGTGGCCTCCAGCAAATCTGCTGGCCGCAGAAAGATCAAGTAGAAGGAGTCCCGCCTGTTCTTGCCAAGGACTCCAAAATAACTCATACAGTACTTTAAAAAGAAAAATGGGAAAAACATCTTCATAGTGTGAAAAATAAGTCAGCAACATGTTCATACATTTACTTTAGTCTATGGTTTAATCTGGCTCATTATACCTTTTGTAACTATTTGATATTGTGAAATAAATCTGTATAGAAGTACAGTCTTTTGCAACTGTTGGGCATGCCTAGTCAAGTGACATGTTTTGCTGATTTTCTAAATATATTTATATTTTCTTAAAGTTTATCTCTGGTCAGGGCCAGCAAAGTTCATTCCTTACCAACTCTCCAGTTATACGTTAAAAAAAATAAAAAAAATTGCTATATCCTTATCTGAATCCATAGTGTAGCGTGTTGGTGCCTAGGTGTTCTATCTTCTGGATTGCAGAGTTGGATAGACCTTCCTCAAGTGCAGGGGCGGACTGACCATTTGGAAACTCGGGCATTGTCCCAGGGCCCCAGGTCAGTAGGGGGCCCCATGAGATGCTCCTGGTACCTTTTTCATAGGCTTTTTTGAGTTTGGGCAAGGACACAGGGGCCCCATGATCCCCTATTGCCCGGGGGCCCCATGAGTTGTCAGTCCGCCCCTGCTCAAGTGTCCACATTTCTGCCTGGAGATGTGGACTCCTACTATTATCAGGGTCCTAAAGACTTCAGTGGTGTGATGATATCATGAAGAAAGGTGGCAACAACACCAGTCAGCAGCATGCCATGGACTGCAGTGGTGGATCACTGATCTTTGCAGTGTTGACGTGAGGGTCAAATTGACAGTGGAATGGTAGGTGCGTGTGCCTGGAGAGGGACTTTAAAGTGAACCAATGCTTTATCCACCTGTCCACTGGGGAGAGTCCATGCATTTAATAGTGTGGTCACTGTAACAGGAAGTAAGGGGAAATCTGTCTAAGAAAAAAGACATATGAAATTAAAGGATGACTGTACTTTTCATATGGTACCATATGTATTGTATTTACAGGCTGTTGTGTAGTACAGTGATTGTGTTTTGCTGCTCTTCTTAGGTCTTTGCAAGATTACTAGTAGCCATACCTAGTCTGATAAAATCATGTTGGAAACTCTCTTGTTGACAAGGTGCCAGACGTTTCCATTTATCTTACAAAAATAGAGCCAACCAAAGGAAATTAAGGGGTCCCTGGTCAAACAATGTGCATCATTCTCTAGGGTTTTCCAACCCCATCTTCATCTCCATAGGCTTAAACAATTTAAACATATAGATTTTTATTTCATTTTTAGAGTAGGGAACAGTTAGGACTGCATCAGCTTTTTTCTGTGTCTCACCAGGAAGATTTCTTTAGATGTCCTGTCCCAAAGGCAGAGCAAAAAGCAGAGGAAATCACTCCAAAGCAAAGGGATCTTTCCTTCTATATAATTGTCAACAGGTCAAGTTTACACATTGGAACATTGTTCCCTCATATTTTGTTCCTATCACAACTCAAAAATGTTGCATCTCCCACTTTTTGTACCAGAGACAATGGTCAACATAACCAATACAAATGGCTCAATGCACAAAGCTGAAACACTAGGATAAGGATCCTTATTTCTTTGTTAAAGTTACAGTCATTGTTTTTAAGTGATAGCTGTTTTCAATATGTGAGTTCAATGTGTTTGAAAATTACAGTCATTTGACTTGACATAAAAATCCTACTATAGAAATTTCAAAGAGAAACTGCTCAGCCCAGCCAACATTGGGAAATAGAAGAGTAAAACTGTGCTCCATAAAAGTCAAACTGTAGGATTTAATGAGTATAGCTGGCTTTCAACCACAGTCCCCACCCTAGAACATGCCTGCTGACGCTTTTTATCCCGAATGAGACGTCTATGAATAGGCCCAATTGGGGCAAAATGCATCTGAAGTGCACGGCCTTTGGGCAAAACTGTTTTGGAAGGCAGATATACTCATTAATTTCTAGAGTTTGACTCCTCCTGCTATGTTAGCTTTGTGATTTGAGCCTAAAGGTGAATCCCTCCAGGGGTGACACAGACAGCAAAAAAAAACCCAACAGAGGTTCTAATTCTCCCATTTTCACTCCAAAACAACAAATAAAAACACTTTTTATACACTTTAATATTAATACTGTATGCTCTCTACAGTTGATGCTGCTGATCCTCTAGTTATCTTCATATCATAGTCATTCAGCATTCCAAATTAATTTACGGTTGCATGCCTCTAATAAGGGCCAGATGACATCCACCTGAAGAAAACATGGGAGATTTGACAGTATCGTTCATGGTTACATTTTATTAAATTATTATACAGGGTTTATATAGTGCCAACAGTGTACACAGCACTTTACAACATAAGGGCAGACAGTACAATTACAATACAATTTAATACAGGAGGGATCAGAGGGCCCTGCTCATTAGAGTTAACAATCTAATGATGGAAGGTCAAGGGACACAAAAGGTAATCATTGTGGGGGATGGGCTGATGGAGAAAATACATGTACAGTTGTTAGGTAGGGGCAGGATAGGCCAGCTTCTGAAGAGATGAGTTTTCAGGGATCGACTAAAAGTGGACAGAATAGGAGATAGTTGGACACATTGGATAAGGGAGTTCCAGAGGTTTGGAGTGGCTCTGGAAAAGTCCTGTAGGCAAGCATGGGAAGAGGTGACAAGGGAGCTAGAGAGCAGGAGGTCTTGGGAGGAATGAAGAGATCGATTTGGTTGGTATTTTGAGACAAAGTTAGTGATGTAGCTGGGGGCCGAGTTGTAGATGGCTTTATAAGATGTTGTAAGTATCTTGAATTTAATTTGTTGGGTGAGCAGAAGCCAAGGGAGGGATTGGCAGACAAGGGTGATGGACTGTCAGGAATGGACTCACCACTGGTGGTGCTGTGGCTCACTTGCTCTGTGGGCTGCAGTACCAGTTCCTACCAGAGGGTGTTTTCAGCAGCCAGGGTCTCACTCCTGCAATCTAGCCATCACCTGAGGCTGATTGCAGGAGGTCTATTTAAGCAGGAGCAGACCTGCAATCAGTGACTTGGTGTTTGTTCCCATGAGTCCCTGTACCTGGTCCTGTCATCTGCCTGCCTGTTTCCTCTGCTTGACTCTGACTCTGATCGAACTCCGCCTGCACCGACCCTGGCTATTCCTGACCTTTTTCCTGCATGCTCCTTTTGTACCTTGTCTGCCCGATTGTTCCTGACCCGCCCTGCATGACCACTCCACCTCTCCAGCCTGACTACGCCTGTCTGTGTTCCTGAACATACTGACATTAGTTGGAGGTTTGGTTTTGTTTTATACTGTGCGTTTGTATACTCGTGTAGTTCTTAATAAATTATATTATTCATTTCTGAAGCCTGTGTTTCCCTGTGTCAGTCCACACATTTCTGGTCATAACTGGATCCCTAACATGGACACTGAGTGGTTGGTAAGGTGGATGAGCCTGGCAGCATAATTATTTATTTATTTCAGGTACTTATATAGCCCTGTCAATTTACACAGCGCTTTACATATATATTGTACATTCACATCAGTCCCTAACCCTCAAGGGGTGTACAATCTAAGGTCCCTAACTCACCTTCATACATACACATACTAGGGCAATTTAGACAGGATCCAATTCACCTATCAGCATGTCTTTGGAGTGTGGGAGGAAACCGGAGTACCCGGAGGAAACCCACGCAAGCACAGGGAGAACATGCAAACTCCAGGCAGGTGGTGCCGTGGTTGGGATTCAGACCAACGACCCTAGTACTGCCAGGCGGAAGTGCTAACCATTTAGCCACTGTGCTTCTAATTCATGATGGAGTGAAGGGGGGTTAGCCTATGTAAAGGTAAACCAGTAAGGAGGAAGTTGCAGTTCAATTCTAATTCAGTTATTTATTCATTTAGAATGTCTCAGCTCCTATTCCAGCCAAGAGTTGCAAGTACCTGGTGGATAAATACACACTTGAACAAGAAATAATTGTTTATGTATACCTGTAGTTGTTCAAACGTGTCTCAAAAATAGATATCCCATTAGATGCAGCATATAAGAAATGCAAACCTGTAAATAAAAAAAATTGTCAGGAAAAAAAAAAAGGAACATTTTTCAATAGTAAGTCAACAAACTCTCTTACTCTATGAAAATCCTACAGGAGTCCCCGTAATGCAGATCATTTTAATTCAAAATATTAATTCTTGTCCCATGGGTGACTGGTTTTTAAAAAATGCAAAAAATCAATGGTTTCTGTAGAGTCCCTCTTTTATTGATTGTGATTATAACACAGGGGTGTGAATGATATTCATCAAGCAATTTGTTCTAGTCCACTGCATGTTTCCTTTGTTGCCTAATTAATCAAGTACTTCCTCATAACCTTGACTTGTCACCATCCCCAGAGTGAATTAGAAGAGAGCCACCCACATTGGAACGCTCGCGTCTGCCTGTTTTTGTCCCGCATAAGAATTAATAAGACCTGTCATCTTTATTCAGCGAAGGCCATTACTTTTCGTGTGTCTCTCATATTTAATTTAAACGCAAACCAGCCCCCTCCTCAAGTGGTAATATATATAACTTTATGACACCAATTTCTATAATATTGCTTCTTCAATTTTTAATGGGCATCTAATACATATTTATATGTGCCATTACTGTTTGATTTTCAAAACAATTTGTAGGGGCAAAGAGACTGAGTATTATGTCTTTGTTATATATGTATTTTTTTTCCTTTTATATTCTTCACAGCTATTTACATGTTTTCTCATTGTATGAGCTTGAAATGGCGTGACAGGTTGTCTTTGCTGCAATGGATGTCTATGTGTTTTATTTTAATTTTCCAATTATGTATATTCATATTTGCTCATTGAATGAGCTGCGAATGGAATTATAAGTTGAACAATTTAATATGTCGCCAGCACACCAAAAGTCTTTTTGCTTGTTTTTAATAATTTTTTTTTTTCCTTATCCAATTCCGAAAAAGTGGTCTAGGCAGACCAACGTTCCCCACTCTGGGGCTGTGTCTTGTGGTATCTGGTGTATGGACCACTACACTAAAAGTGTGGGGCACCACGGCCGCTATGTGCAGCAGGGTCTAACCCCCGGTTCACATATACGCTATTATACGGTTACCCAAACGAACGCTATCCCCACTCCAGTCGATCCTAAACTCAGCGGCTAGACTCATCCACCTCACCAAGCGCTCCACATCTGCCTCCCCCCTCTGCCAATCCCTTCATTGGCTCCCGATTGCCAACGCATCAAATTCAAACTGCTAACTCTGACCTACAAAGCCATTCACAACACTGCCCCTACAGTCAGGTCCATAAATATTGGGACATCAACACAATTCTAACATTTTTGGCTCTATACACCCACCACAATGGATTTGAAATGAAACGAACAAGATGTGCTTTAACTGCAGACTGTCAGCTTTAATTTGAGGGTATTTACATCCAAATCAGGTGAACGGTGTCGGAATTACAACTGTTTGCATATGTGCCTCCCACTTGTTAAGGGACCAAAAGTAATGGGACAATTGGCTTCTCAGCTGTTCCATGGCCAAGTGTGTGTTATTCCCTCATTATCCCAATTACAATAAGCAGATAAAAGGTCCAGAGTTCATTTCAAGTGTGCTATTTGCATTTGGAATCTGTTGCTGTCAACTTTCAAGATGAGATCCAAAGAGCTGTCACTA